CAAGCTGTGACAGGATATATCCCGACACAGCTGATTTGCTTTATGGGATGAAATGTGTGTCGCCTGTTGTCCTACATCAGGCAAGGGCCCATGTGGGACAAGAGGCAATGAGTTCCCCTTGCCTGGGGATTCCCCACGGTCCTCACTACCCTGTACCTCATTGCCAGGACCCAGGTCCCACACCAACACGTGCTTCATGCAGAGGCATGAGTAAGCTTGGAGGCACAGTGGTGCAGAACCCAGAGAACCACTGGCGCCACATGCCTCCATGTTGGAACCCATGACTGCATGAAACACGGTGAGTCCTGACAAGAAGGTGCAGGGTAGTTTGGAGCTGTACAATTCCCAGCACCTGGTGTCTCTATGCTGGGACCTCCACTGGGTCCCATGCTGACCCATGCTTCCTATGGAGGTATGGGTCAGTATGGGTCCCAGCATTGAAGCGTGGGGCTCTGGGAATTCCTCAGGACTCGCACTGACCCATGCCTGTATGTGAAGCACAAGGTCCCCACATGAGGGCATGGGGTGCAGGGAATTCCCCAGGTCCCATGCCTACACACTGGAATCCATGCAGGTTTTCTTTTCTTCGGAGATGCACCCCTGAACTTCCAGGCAGGACTCGGTAAGTACGGAACCCCAATCTAGACCTTTAAGGCCCCAGACCACTTGCCTGGGGCAGCTGGAGAGTGCAAGCTACCTGCACTTGCCCACCATAGAGCAAATTAACATTTGTCACAATAAAGTGGCACTACTATATTTACTCCAGTCCAAAACAAGGTTTTTCCCTCATTTAATATGAATGGGGGGGGAAAAAAGTCCCTTGTCTTAGAATCAAGTACAAGGTGGCAAGGAGACAGGCAGCTGCCCTGGCCCTGGGCCTGGCCCCAGCACCTGGGCCTGGAGCTGCAGCTGTTGCCTGTCCATGCCTGCTGCCTTCTCTGCACTCAATGCACATCCCCCCTGCAGCCTTAGGCCCCTGTCTCCCTCACCTCCCCACACCACTGCTATGGGGCTGGGTTGAGGCCATGGGCTGTGCCCCAGGCTGGAGCAGGGATGAAGCCTATTGGCACCAGAGCAAGAGTACATGGCAGGACAAAAAAGAGGGGCAGGTGTAGTGCAGAGGCTGCAGGGAGGCAGAAGTGGCACAAGGGGGAGACAGGTGAGGTGGTGGTGGGAGACTGAGGCTGGGTGGGCAGAAGTGGTACAGGGGGAGACAGGTAAGGGGGCACAGGGGCCTGAGGCTCTGGGAGAGGCAGACAAGGGGCAGAGGCTGCAAAGGAAGCAGGCACAAGGGAGAGTAAGGGGAGGGGGGGGCAGAGGCAGGAGGCTATTTGCCTCCCCACCACCTCCACATTGCCAACCCCCCTACTGCCTGCTCTCTTACTGCCTCTGCCACTGCTTGTCCCCCTACCACAGCTTTCCCCACTGCATCAGTGATGGGGTTGAATTATGATGCTCCTACGATACTTTGATTCTGTACATGGAAAATTGTAACAAATTGCTACATTTTCCTTGTATAGAATCTAATTATTGGGGGGGTCATCTTAAATTTAGGGCCATCTTCAGTTAATGTCTGTATGCAGTATTTACCTGAATGGTGTGCATCTATCTAAAATCTGACTGGGTATATGTTAATGAAATGGGTTGATCATGAAGACTTCCTCCCTCCCAGCTAAGTGAAGGATTTATAATAAACTCAACAACTGTTTAACTAGGATCACCTTTCAGAGGTCATCAGTTACTGCTCTGGACAGTGAATTCTATTCCTTATAGAATCATATAGAATTAGGGTTGGAAGGGACCTCAGGAAGTCATCTAGTCCAAACCC